CATCACTGTGCTCCTGCCCCGCCCCTGCACTGGAATAGCCCCTCCCCGCTCCCTTTTCTCTTCCAAATCTCTCTCAGATAGAAAAGCACGCAGTTAGGTTCCTTTTCTACTAATCCTTCTGCTTACCCATTTTTGTCTCAGAATACCAGATATTAGGAATGAGTTAAGAAAGGTTGAGGAAGAAGCATCACCTTTCATGATAGCCACAAATAGCATAAAGTATCTTGGGGTAACACTAACCAAGGAAGCGAAAGATCTATTTGACAAGAACTTTAAGGTTTTCAAGAAAGAAGTTGAGGGGCTGGAGAGGTGGCTTAGTGGTTAAGAGCATTGCCTGCTCTTCCAAAGGTCCTGAGTTCAATTCCCAGCAACCACATGGTGGCTCACAACCATCTGTAATGAGGTCTGGTACCCTCTTCTGGCTTGCAGACATACATGGAGACAGACTATTTTATACATAATAAATAAATGTTAAAAAAAAGAAAGAAGTTGATGAGGAAACCAGAAAATGGAAGAATCTCCCATGCTCTGGGATTGGTAGGATCAACATAGTAAAAATGGCAATTCCACCAAAGGCAATCTATAGATTCAATGCAATCCCCATCAAAATCCCAACAAAATTCTTCACAGACCTTGAGAGAACAATAATCAACTTTATATGGAAAAACAAAAAACCCAGGATAGCCAAAACAATCCTATACAATAAAAGTACTTCCGGAGGCATTACCATCCCTGACACCAAACTTTATTACAGAGCTACAGTAATGAAAACAGCTTGGTATTGACATAAAAATAGAGATATTGATCAATGGAATTGATTCAAAGACCGGATATTAATCCACAAACTTATGAACATCTGATTTTTGACAAAGGAGCTAAAATTATGCAATGGAAGAAAGAAAGCATCTTTAACAAATGGTGCTGGCATAACTGGATGTCAGCCTGTAGAAAAATAAAAATAGATCCATATCTATCACCATGCACAAAACTCAAATGGATTAAAGACTTCAATATAAATCTGACCAAACTGAACCTGATAGAAGAAAACGTAGAAAGTAGTCTGCAACACATGGGCACTGGAAATCACTTCCTACGTATAACCTCAGTAGCACAGACAATAAGAGCAACAATGAATAAATGGGACTTCCTGAAACTGAGAAGCTTCTGTAAAGCAAAGGATGCTATCATTAAGACAAAAAGGCAACCTACTGAATAGGAGAATATCTTCACCAACCCCTCATCAGACAAAGGCATGAGCTCCAAAATATATAAAGAACTCAAGAAACTAGACATTAAAATTTTAAATAACCCCATGAAAAAATGGGGTATTGAACTGAACAGAGAATTCTCAACAAAAGAAGTTCAAGTGGCCAAAAGATACTTAAGGTCATGTTCAACTTCCTTAGCAATCAGGGAAATGCAAATCAAAACAACTTTGAGATACCATCTTACCCCTGTCAGAATGGCTAAAATCAAAAACACCAATAATGACCTATGCTGGAGAGGATGTGGAGTAAGGGGAACACTCATCCATTGCTGGTGGGAATGCAAACTTATGCAACCACTTTGGAAATCAGTGTGGTGGTTTCTCAGGAACCTGGGAGTCAACCTACCTCAGTATCCAGCAATTCCACTCTTGGGAATATAGCCAAGAGATGCCCAATTATACAAAAGCATTTGTTCAACTTTGTTCATAGCAGCACTATTTGTAATAGCCAGAACCTGGAAACAACCTAGGTGCCCCTTAATGGAAGAATGGATAAAGAAAGTGTGGCACATATACACATTAGAATTCCACTCAGTGGTAAAAAACAATGACATCTTGAATTTTGCATGCAAATGGATGGAAAAAGAAAACACTATACTGTGTGAGATATTCCAGACTCAGAAAAGATGAATATGGTATGTATTCACTCATTAGTGAATTTTAGCCATTAACAAAGGACATTGAGCCTATAGTTAGTGATCCGAGAGAAGCTAAATAATAAGGTGAACCCCCCCCCAAAATATGTAGATCTTCCTGGGAATTGGAAGCAGACAAGATCGCCAGGCAAAAGTTGGGAACATGGGGGTGGGAGTTGAGTGGAGGGAAGAGGAGAGGCAGAGATAGAATGGAGAAGGGGAGGATTGGGGAGAGCTTGGGGGAGTGGGATGGTTGAGATGGAGGAAGGGCAGATATGCGAGCAGGGAAAAAGATACCTTAATTAAGGTAGCCATTTTAGGGTTGACAAGACACTTGGCTCTAGAGGGGTTCCCAGGTATCCATGGGGATTTTCCCCAGCTAGATCCTTGGACAGTAGAGGAGAGGGTGCCTGAACTGGCTTTATCCCATAACTACACTGATGAGTATCTTGAATATCACCATAGAACCTTTATCAGGCAATGGATGGAGATAGAGACAGAGACCCACATTGGAGCACTGTTCTGAGCTCCCAAGGTCCAGATGAAGAGCAGAAGGAGGGAAAAGATGAGCAAGGAATTCAGGACCACGAGGAGTTCATCCACCCACTGAGATGGCATGTCTGATCTAATGGGAGCTCACCAAGGCCTGCTGGACTGGGACTGAGTGAGCATGTGATCAACTCTCTGATTGTGACTGACATTGAGGGCTAACTGAGAAGCCAATGAAAATAGCACTGGGATTTGATTCTAATGCATATACTGGCTTTTTGCACACCTTCTTAGACATGCATGGAGGGGGGAGGGCTTTGGTCTTCCCACAGGGCAGGCAGGATACCATGCCTTCTCTTAGGACTGGAAGGGAAGGGGGTAGGGGGAGTAGGGGAAGTGGGAGGAAAATGGGTGGAGGTGGATATTTTGAATGGTATTATTTATAAAGCAATATAGAAAAAGAGGACCATGAATGAAAATTGGCCCAATCACACCAGCACCAATGGTGAGAAAAGGAAGCATGAAACCATTGGGGCAAAGCTTGTAGAAGACAACAAGTGTTAGCAATGGCTTTCAAACCAGAATCAACTTGTAATATGTGTGCCACTCTGTGCATATGAAATAATATATTTCTCATACAACAGTGTATATGTCTAAAGGTAAAAGTATAACCTTTGAAAACTAATAAGAATTTTACTTTAAGAAACCTGTTAAGTAAAAAAAGAAAGGTTGAGGATAGTCCCAAACTCCTATACGGGAAGTGGTGAAAATGACCTTCAAAGTTTTTAATGCCTGAGAAAAATAAGCTAAGTCTTCCCGACAGACAAAGCTACAACAATCTACAGGCCCAGGCCTTAGCAGCTGCCCTAAGGTCACAGGAAAGGGGTCAAGGGAAACCAGTTACAAGGCTCTATCCTGGTAAACCTCAGCCTAAGTCAGCCTCACAGGGAAACTGTTTCAAGTGTGGCCTAAATGGTCACGTGGCACAATATTGCACTACGCCTCCTCTGAGGTTATGCCTTATCTGCCAGCAACCTGGACACTGGAAATCACAATGACCCCGTGCAGGCTTGTCTTCTATGCCAAGCCACGGAGGTCTGGCCTCATCACCATTGGCAAGTGGAACTGTGCCAGCCTTCAAACATCTCTCAGCCTTGCAGAGGATTGATGCTGCCCAGACTTGATTTATCCCATAACCCTGTTCAAGTCAAAGGTAAAGCTGCAAGTGGCGGGTAAGACCATTACTTTAATTCTCACTTAGGCCTTAAGTTTCCCTCACCAATTGCAGCTATGGGGGTAGATGGGACCCATTCCTCCCCAATCAAAACTATGCCACCACCCTGTATTCTTGCAGGACAATTTTTCTCTCATTCTTTCTCCGTGATACCTGTTTGCCCAGCACCTTTACTAAATGGAGAAATCCTAAGCCACTTCCCCAAAGCTTTGTTCCGCTTCTAGGAGCCCCTTTTAATCCCACCCATCTCCGAGATTCTGTTTTACAGATTCACTTCTCCTGCCAGACGTGTGCCCAGGACAACCTACAAGGGGCTCTCCACATACATCAGTCTCTGCACCAGCTTCACAAACACCAACTGGGTGAAGATCGGCAGGTTAATTTCACCCATATGCCTACTCATAAAAAATACTCCATTATCTCTTAACACTTGTGGACACTTTTTCAGAATGGATAGAAGTGTTTCTGGTTTCCAGAGAAACAGCAGATATGGTGGCTCAGGTACTTCTGGACCACATCATTCTTCAGTTTGTTGTCCCACAAACCATCCAGACGAACAATGAACTCATCAAACAACAACTAACCAAGCTCTCCATTGAACTCAGGTTATCTTGGCTCTTCCTTCTCCCCATTGCCCTGACTTGCCCCAGGGCCACCTCATGTTCCCCTATGGGCCTGAGCCCTTTGGAGCTGCTTTATGGCAGGCCCCTTCTCCTTAACCATCACCTCCCAGTCCAAACTCCTCCACTGGCTGGGTACCTACTCTTCCTCTCCCTTTTAAGGTTCCTTCTCCATTCACATGCTGACAGTTGTCTCTCTACCACCACCTCAATGGACCCTAATGCCCCTAAACCTGCCCTACTCTCCTCAGGGGACAGAGAACTTCTCAAACAGTTAATTCCCAGGTCTCTCGAACCTCATTTGACAGGACCTCACATGATAATTCTCAGCACCCCCTCGGCTACCAAACTCTGGGACACCCATGCTGGTACCATTTCTCCAGGCTCAAGCAGGTGCCTACTCAAGACACTTCGTCTGTCCAGCCTCCGGTTTTCTAGGATGCCACAATGAAGATCCTACCTGCTCTTCACTCTGGCACACTCATCTTTAGTGATAACAATTTATTTCCTAGATGCTTGCCTTCTCATCTCCCTCAAGGAACAGATACCTGCCTTTTGCCTTTCTATCCATACCTCTCACTGAACGTGGACACC